CCGCAACGCGCAGCCGCCGAGTCCGCGCCGCGGCCCTGGAGTTCCGTCCGCTGCCAGCAGAGGGCGCAGGGTGCCCGTCCCCGCACCCCCGAGGACTTCTCCCGGCCGGCTGCGGCAGGGTCCAGCGGCGGGAAAAGAGCCCCCCGCGCCGCCCCTCCAGCCGCGGTGCTGGGGCGCCGCCCCCTTTCCTGGCACGGCAGCAGGAAGCCAGTAGGAGTCACAGCCTGGGGCCGTCACCCTGCGACGGGCCCGTGCTGTCTGTCCGTCTGCCGGCCTGGGTGAGCCCTGCCTGTGTCCCGGTGTGCCCGCGGTGTGCCCGCCTGCGCACCCGGACTCCCCTGCTGGATGCCCCCCCTCCGCGGCTGAGTCCCGGCCTCCGAGAGTGGCACGGCCAGCTCGCCAAGTTCTGGGAAGCCTAAAGACGGACTCGGTGCGACACACGCTCCCGGCTCCCTGCTCTCAGCCTGTGAGGACCCGCCGGGCAGCGTCCTGGGGTCTCTGACTGTGACACCGAGCACACCTGCCCGCCGGGACAGGGAGCGGCCGGCGCGCTGCACATGCTCTGGGCCAGGTCCCCTCTCTGTCCCGCTCACCCCAAGCCGCAGGCCCCAGCAGGGGCCCAAGTGCCAGGAGGAGTTCCTTTGGGGGCAACTGCAGGAAGCCCCAGCAGCAGGGTGGAAAGTGAGACAGGCCGGGCTTGGTGGCCCCGGGGGTCTGGAGGCTGAGGCAGGAGGATGGCCAGGGAGCAGGAGGCAGCCTGGGCTACATAGTGAGTTCAAGGCCAGCCTGGACTACATAGCAAAAGCCTGTCTCAAAACACCAAAAACAAGAAAAGGAAAGGAAAGAGAGATAGGACAGGAAGGGACAGAAGAGGATGTTGGCCATCAACTGTGGGCAGTGGGGGCATGGGCAGCTGGGGACTCTATTCGGGGCAAGGGGCGAGAAATAGAGTGCCCAGGTAAAGTCCTCTGCCCCTGGTGGAGGCTGCTCCCTGCGACGCAGTGCCCCGGCACTTCCGGTAAACGGGCACTTGCAGGAAGTTGGCCCCAGAGCCGAGAGCCGAAGGTGCTTTCGGTCAGCTATGGAATAGCCCTGGGCCGGACCCAGCCGAGTGTGACTCACTTGCGTCATGGATCTGGGACCCGTCAGGGAGGCCTCTCTGGCAAGCTCTTCACTCTGCTGCTGCCCTCGCCAGCAGCCTTTTCTCTTTTCCGCTTTGTTTGAGACAGGGTCTCATGTCCTTACCTAGCTCAGGCTGACCTTGAACTTGCTGCATCTGGGGGACGAGCCCCGCGGCTCTGCTGTCTGAGCAGCCCAGGGGATGGGGGTCAGCCCCGATAATTAATCAGAGGGGCAAAGTTTAAGGGAGGGTAAACAGCATGGTGGTGCACACCTGTAATCCCAGCACTCTGGAGGCTGAGGCAGGAGGATCATTGCGAGTTCGAGAACAGCCTGGGCTACAAAGTGAGTTCAAGGTCAGCCTGAACTGCATACTGAGACCCTGTGTCCAAAAAAAAAAAAAGTTTAATGAGGGTAGACACTTTATCCCTGAGGAGGAGAGGGAGGGAGAAAGAAGACAGACTGCTTCTCTGATAGGAAAGAATCAGGGTGGGCGCTCTGGAAAGATGGGGGGCCCTGGGCCCTTTGTTCTTAGC